ATATATATATATATATATGTATATGTATAGATTGAACCTGTATTAAAAGAAATTACAGACATGAACTGAACGGATCATCTAAAATTAAACTATTGTTTTTGGTGCAAGAAACGTTCAGGCATTCAGGCAGAAAAAACAACGACAGGGGCATTTACACAACACCGTTTTTAACTAAAAATTGAAAACTTTTTATGCATTTCGGCTATTCATTTACGATGATAAACAACACCATTATCATCTAAGTGTAAACTGTAAAAAACGCAAATTTGTGAAAATGGTGAAGTCATACGCATGTGTATTGCATGTTCAGTATATGTGCATAATATCGCCAACTACTGGCCTGGCATGAACAATACAGCGTTTTTAGTCTTTTTTGGTGATCTGTGTGAATGGGGATCATTTTTGACAACATTGTTGTCTATACATGAAACTTTTGAAAAAGAAAAAAATGTGAAAAAATTACTGTTTAATTAGAAGTACACTTCTGAATTACCTCAACAGACAGCTCAAGTCAATTCATTTAGATGCTTTAAGAAGTAATCTGCTATTTGCCAATAACTCCAAAAACCTGTCAGACTATATCGCTCTGTCCCTTTGTCTCTTGTGTTCTTTCTCTCTTTCTCTCTGACAGGACGCTGACGTTAGCATTTCTTTATGACATCGTATCCCTCTTTCCAGGTGAGGAGGGGGGGAGCGACCCATCAGCAACCATCGATCGATTCAATCAGCGGCGCAGCACGCAGAAACGCAACATATGTGCGTGTGATCGTTCAGATCGCTTCTCACCCGTGACAGCGGAGACATTGAGAGTATGTGGTGAAAGACGGGACAAAAAACACCAGTTCCTGCCTCATATACCCTGATTAACAACCCAGAGACTGATAATAAGCAAAGAAAGAATACCTTTTCTTTGTCTCTCATGGATCCCTTGCCGAGGATGGACATCTTGGTCAGCGTGTCCTCCTGCAGTCTCTTTAAAGAGTTCCCTCGAGGGCCCAGGAGTTTACCCACAAAATTAAACTAATAAAGAGAGAGAGAAAGAGAGAAAAAAAGAGTTTTACTTACACTTCATAGTACTGTCTTCTAATTACTATTCCCTAATACATAAGTTATGCAAACTGACATTCTAAGTATTTCCTCTGCAAAACCAGTTAAACATTTATCAAAGCCACACAATGGTATATTAAATACTGCATTTTTCTTGCCCACATCAACCAATTAAACGGCACTTTTTTTCTGGTTATGCATGCTTTAATGATCAAATATTTCACTAAGACACTATACTTGCTTTTTTGTTCAAACTCTGAATTAGTAATTTGAATTTTAAATAAGAAAAAGAGACCTCAAATATTTTTTATATAATGGACGGCACTTTTCATTGATTTTTGTTTTTATAGTTAGCTAATTATAGGTAGCTAAACTATTAAAATCTATAAAAATATAAAATATATGAAGAGTTCAGATGCAAAAGCCTCTAAGTGCTGTTTGAAATTTTCTTCTAAAATTGGCATTTTCTTTATCAGGCTCCTATGTTTATGTTCAGTTATTTCACTTTAATGGCAATGGAAAGAACCTATTACTTGCCATAAAAGTGAAATTACTGAATCTACACATAGGAGCCTGATAAAAATGCTCATTTTAGAAGAACATTTTAAATGGCACTATATATTATATATAATTATTTATTAAGCATTAAGTTATTTTATTAAAAATAAGGCACCGAACCCCCAACTGCTCCCCGGGCGCCGCAACAAAAAATGGCTGCCCACTGCTCCGGGTGTGTGTTCACGGTGTGTGTGTGTGTTCACTGCTGTGTGTGTGCACTTTGGATGGGTTAAATGCAGAGCACTAATTCCAAGTATGGGTCACCATACTTGGCCACATGTCACGTCACTTTCACTTTCACTTACATGTGAATTAATCACAATTAATTGCATATATCAATATTTACTGCAAAAAGATCATTCAGAGACAAAGACGAAAGGCAGAAAGTGGCTTAAAAAGTTAATATATTGTTTATTTTATTTCCATATGTCTGAATAGGTCGCAAAAAAAATGAATCAAATAGCAACTGTATTCATTCATTATAAAAATAAATAATAGTATTAAATGCATGTGTTACATTTCCAGTTCTTATAGCCTGCGAGGGGACAAAACAGCGTTCCTCTTAACAGAACTGCATCTGTGAAAGACACTTTACTGAATCACAAGAGACTCCAGATCTAAAACACATACTGTTTTGTGTCACATTCGGATGGAAACAGGAGGCAAGGATCAAAGAAACACGAGACAGAAGAAAGAGAAAGAAAGGAAGAAGAATCCTCCCAGAAAGAAGACAAAAAGAGGAAAGAGGAAAGAGGAAAGAGGAAGCGTATAGGCTGAGGAGGTGAGACGCTTTCTCTGCAGTTCTTGTTAAAACGCTTCACCTGCGCCTGCTGTCCAGGCTTGTTAGCGATCTCACCGCTGAACCCGGAGCGGAAGATCAAACCCTGCCACCCATGAAGACCTCTGAGAAAGCCACAGACACAATCGCAGCGCTCAGGTGACACATTCTCAAACTTTCTTGGTTACTTTTTCAAAATAGAAAGACTTGACTGAACCTGATGGCAAAATTTGAATCCCAGAATTAACAGAAAGAGCGGAGTGGTTCTAGGTTTATACAACCTTTGTGGCAGGATGGATGCATACTTTGAAAATCCAACAAATACTATACTATATATACTATATACTATACATCACTTTTTCTTATAAAATTCACCTGCAGAAATATAAATAGACATGAGACAATTGTTGACAAAGTGTAAGTGTAAGATGTATTTCCTCAGCTCAGATCAGATCTCTTATAAGAATAACGAGAAATGTTTAAGTTCATACTGAAATCTCTGACTTATGAATATAAGCTATCTGGGCAAATCTAAGTGCATTTTAAAGTATGGATGCTTGTTTCTGCCACAGGATAAAACAAATTACTAAGGTAATTGTGACTTTTTCCTCACAATTCTAAGAAAAAGAGCTTTATTACACTTTATTTTAGGATGTCCTTGTTATAGTGTAATTATACATTTAAGTATTGAGTAATGTTAATTAACTACATGTACATACTACAGTGCCGTGAAAAGGCTTTTGCCCCCTTACTGTTTTTTTTATTTTTTGCATATTTGTCACACTTAAAAGATTCAGATCATCAAACCAATTTTAATATTACGCAAAGATAATGCAAGTAAATACAAAATGCAGTTTTTAAATGATAATTTCATTTATTAAGGGAAAAAAGCTGTCCAAACCTACCTGGCCCTACGTGAAAAATGATTTGCCCCTCCTCTTAAATCATGAAAGAACTGTGATTAACCACATTATTTTAGAAAGCTGAGTTAAATTTCACTAGCCACACGCAGGCCTGATTACTGCCAGACCTGTTGAATCAAGAAATCACTTAAATAGAACCTGTCTGACAAAGTGAAGCATGCTTAAAGAGCAACACATCATGCCGCGATCTAAAGAAATTCAAGAACAGATGAGAAACAAAATAGCTGACATGTATCAGCCTGGAAAGGGTTATGAAGCCATTTCTAAGGCTTTGGGACTCCAGCGAACCACGGTCAGAGCCATTATCCACAAATGGAGAAAACTTGGAACAGTGGTGAACCTTCCCAGGAGTGGCCAGCCTACCAAAATTACTCCAAGAGCGCAACGACGACTCATCCAGGAGGTCATAAAAGAACCCAGAACAACATCTAAAGAACTGCAGGCCTCACTTGCCTCAATTAAGGTCAGTGTTCATGATTCAACAATAAGAAAGAGACTGGGCAAAAACGGCATCCATGGGAGAGTTCCAAGGCAAAAGCCATTGCTGACCAAAAAGAACACAAAGGCTTGTCTCACATTTGCCAAAAAATATCTTGTTTATCCCCAAGACTTTTGGGCAAATATTCTGTGGACTGATGAGACAAAAGTTGAACTTTTTGGAAGGTGTGTGTCCCGTTACATCTGGCGTAAAACCAACACAGCATTTCATAAAAAGAACATCATACCAACAGTCAAACATGGTGGTGGTAGTGTGATGGTCTGGGGCTGCTTTGCAGCTTCAGGACCTGGATGACTTGCCATAATTGATGGAACCATGAATTCTGCTCTCTATCAGAAAATCCTGAAGGAGAATGTCCGGCCGTCAGTTTGTGACCTCAAGCTCAAGCGCACTTGGTTTATGCAGCAGGACAATGATCCAAAACACACCAGCAAGTCCACCTTTGAATGGCTCAAGAAAAACAAAATTAAGGTTTTGGAATGGCCAAGTCAAAGTCCAGACTTAAATCCGATTGAGATGCTGTGGCATGACCTTAAACAGTCCATTCATGCTCAAAAACCCTCCAATGTGGCTGAATGAAAACAATTCTGCAAAGAAGAGTGGGCCAAAATTCCTGTGAAAGACTCATTGCCATTTATCGCAAACGCTTGATTGCAGTTGTTGCTGCAAAGGGTGGCACAACCAGTTATTAGATTTAGGGGGCAATTACTTTTTCACGTAGTGCCAGGCAGGTTTGGACAGCTTTTTTCCCTTAATAAATGAAATCATAATTTCAAAACTGCAGTTTGTATTTACTCAGGTTATCTTTGTGTAATATTAAAATGTGTTTGATGATCTGAATCTTTTAAGTGTGACAAATATGCAAACAATTAAAAAAACAGGAAGGGGGCAAAAACTTTTTCACATCACTGTATATGATTAGGGTTTTGCTTAGGGTTACTTGCATGTAATTATGAATAATGTATTGTTATTATAATAGTAATTACATGTAACGTGTAACAAGGACACCTTAAAATAAAGTGTTACCAAAAAAGTCAGAATTGCAGTACATAATTGTGAGATATAAACTCAGAGAATTTCAAGGTATAAACAATTGTAAACAAATAATTATTAGAAGTCTGAATTATGAGATATAAACAGACAACTGTGAAACAAAAATGTAAGACTTGTGAGAGAAAAAGTTGCAGTGACTTTTTATTTGACAAAAAAAAAAAAAAAAACGAATTACAAGAAAACAAAAGTAAGAATTGCGACTATATAAATGCAGATTGGTGAGATGTAAACACCGAAAGCAAGAAAAAGTCTGAATTTTGAGTTTATTGAGAGATATAATTTTGAATTGCAAGGGGAAAAAGTCACAATTACCTTTATTATTATTATTATTATTTTATTTATTTTTTATTTTATTCTTTTTTTATCCTTCAATATTCAATATTCTTCTTGGCTTCAATATTAAAGAGATAGTTCACCCAAAAATAAAAAATAAAATCTCATGTTGTTCCAAACCTGTATGACTTTCTTTTCTGCGGAACTCATTTTGAAGAATGTTGGAAACCAAACATTGTTTTTTTTTGTCCATACTATGGAGGTCAATGGAAGCCAAACAGTATAAAACACAACTGAGATCTCTTCAGAAACTAAAAGTCATATTTAGTGGTGTATATTTCCCAATAGGAACATCAGAGAACGAAGTTCAGCAAAAGATTCCATTTACTATTAATATAATCTCATTGATCTCCAAAAGCGACAACTGAGATGTTTAAAAGATCTCATTTGTGATTTCTCTTCCCAATGGGAACACACTATGATTTGAGAATGCACTAATCCTGATACTTTGGGACATAATCATCTCAAATACTTTATAGCACTGAGGGTATGCAAATTATTATTGAGCTGATGACTAAGAGGTCATGACCTTTAATCTATCTATCTATCCATCCATCCATCCATCCATCCATATATCTATCTATCTATCTATCTTAGATAGATATATAGATAGATAGATAGATAGATTAAAAAGCATGAGACACATGTCTGCTTTACACTTCCAGTACGTGTCAGTAAGTGTCCCCGTGGTGTTATTGTCAATCCACACATTGGATTTTTAGAGCGCGGTGGGTTCTGCTGCCGATGGCTGTTTGTGGAGTTGCTTTCAATAGATGTCTGTTATTTACAGAGGCTTTTGTTTGGCTGTGCTTTAATGGTGTAATCTGAT